GGCCATCGGCTTCGGATTCGGGCGCGAGCAGACGAGAGCGCGCGAACGCCCGAGTTGGGCGCCCTGGCGAGCGAGCACGCATGTTTGCGCCCCTCTCCCGCTCGCGCGCGCCGCTCGTCCCGTCGGCCACTGCGCCGACGCCACCCCCCGCCCTCCCCGTGTCGAGCCTGCCGCACTGTGCACCCAGGTGCGAACTCACTCCCGGACCAACGTTTCAGGCCCCATCTAACCCATGTGCGTATGCAATGCTGCCGCCCTATGCAAGAACGCCGTACGAACATTCGAGAGTTGCCAGATGTCCCTTGATAAAACATGTATTTTTCACAAGATTCATGCATACTTTCGCTTGAAATTTTCACATAATTTCGATTAAATTGCGTACAAAATTGTCCGAAATTTTTGGAAAATGTTATTTGCAATTTTCCCAGTAATTTCGGTTTTAATCGGAAGAAACTTGGCAACGTTAAGACGTTGCCGTAAGCGGCTCATACGGCGTTCTTCCGCAGCACGGCAGAATGGGTCAGATACGCCCGTCTCAGAATCGTGGTTTCATGCTTGATTCTCGTACATCAGCTAAATACAGGGTGTCCCAAAAGTCCGTAACCCCCCCCCCCCCCCCCCCCGGTAACTTCTGAACGGTTAGAGATAGAAAAACGAAACTTTGGTAATGATTCTATCTCAAAAGGGACTCTCTCTGCGTTTGGTATTAACCGCGAGATATCGCGCTCTGCAAAATTCGGTCTATGACTTCATCTACCGCTGTAGTGACACCCTTGGTTGCTTCCACCAAGTAGGCTGATTGGCTTGCCTTTTAGGGCCCTAAGAGCTCCACCAACTAACCTCAAAATTATCGACATGTCTGTATTCTCCATGCACAGGTACTATAGCTTTTATAGATAATACAAAGCGTTATTTTTCAATGAATTAAACAAAAAATAACAAAAACAATAGAAAAGAAAAAAAAAACAAGAAGAAACGTCAAAAGACATGGAAAATTGGACGGTGCTACGAAAAAGAAATGAAAAAATAAAAAAAAAGTTGATTATGAGCGAAAGCGTTGGAGAAAGGTGCCTCGATACCATGAGTTCCCACTGTGTTGCGTGCAATACACCCTCCTCCCCCTTTTCTCTTCCCGACAATCCCGTAACGCGATGCGACACGACGCGCCATTACAACTTTCGCACACTTGCACAAAAAGCACATGGTTACCTGAGTTCGGCGTTACCAAATGGCGGCCAACTCAAAAGACTCGCTCAATTCTCACGTTTTTGCAACACAACGATGAAGCGCTGCTGCTGTTTTTTTACGATTTTTCTGTACTGTCGTCCTACGGAAAAATACCGCAAAAGCTTTCGAACGTCGCCAAATCTCGTCTGATACATTGGATACGAAATTTCAGGAAAACTTGCGGGTTCTTCACCCCTAATATTGCGATAAATTTTAATCGCAATTTAATTAAAAGCATCTGAAAATTTCAAGAGAAAAAAATCATATTTACTTCGAAATGAATGTTTTATCAGAAGAAATTGACAATGTAAGAGAGTTCATTCACCGTTTTTCCTCAACGATCAATTTTGTGTAAAAGGAGGGCGAAGGCCCTCGTAAAAAAAAAAGAAGGAAGGCATGAAGACATTCTTACGCTAAACATATGAGCGCGGTGCGCCGGCTGTCGCTGTCCTATCGTTGTGTGTCAGGAAAACGCCTGAATGCAAGGATACAACTATTCGTGCTCGGCGGATGTATATATTGCATATCCAAAAAAATGCGGGCGCGAGGACTTCCTTGCGCTCTCACGTATCTGCGCGCTGCGCCCTGTTAAATGGTCAGCTGACACTGCCACGCTTGGTGCCAATCTCTAGAGAGGGTGTGGCGTTGCATATCAAAATAGAGATTATCTATAACTACCAGTGTGTCCATCCCGACGATTCATTCTAACATACACACGAATTCGTTGACGAGTCTGTTGTGTATTGATCATCCGTAAAAGATGGATTTTAAATACAATAGCATGTTGCACACATGTTGTTGACAACACACTGATTACATTTTCACATAGTAATAATCAAATTGCTTTGACTTGACTTACGACATGACATGACACTCCC